AATGACATCCGTGAACGGCTCAGCGATCTCTGATGACATAGGAGGAAGCGTAGTAGCCGATAGCCCCGTCTAAAGCCCCCTTCGCCTCTCCCCCGGCCAATCGGACCACTCCTCTGCTTCGGCCAATGGGCTTTTCCAGGCCTGTCTGGGGCTCGCTTGACCCGCTTAGCGACCAGCCAAGACCCGTCCGCCGGCCGAGCTTTGTGGAATGCTGTGGACGGCCGAGGCAGCCGGTTCAGCAGAGTCCAGATCCGCACACAGAGATCATTCGTGGCCCTCTCTTCTTGATTCACACAAAGGGTGGAACAGCGTGGAACGGCGGCGCCCGGACGGGATGCGTTTCCCAAACCTGGTCACCCATTAGTTATGAAAATATTTCTGGTTGCTAGGATTCCACTACAGATGGTCTGCGGCCCTGGTGGACAGATTACCGCTGATTGCCTTAACTCTGACTAACCCAGTGTGTGTGTGTGTGTGTGTGTGTTTGTCCCGAACTCTGCGGATTTAGCTGTGTGTCCTGCGCTGCAGACTGATTGAGTGTTTGTGCTCGTCTGTGCTCATCCGTGCATCTGTTTGTGCGCACTTTCACCGCGGCCCGCGCATGGATGGACTGTATGTTCTGGCAGAAGGTTAGAAATGTTCCCGTGTCTGCTGAAACTTTACGGCCGTTTTGGAGGCTGCAGTTTGTGGCGCGTTACATAAAGAGGTGTGTCTGTGTGGCTTCGGCCTGCCCTCGTTGATATAAATGGGATGGAGGAAATAATAGCAGCTCTGGCCAGGATAACGCGGTGCACATCAGCAGCACCAAAAGCTGCAGCCTCCACATCGTCGTGCGATCGAATAAACACTTTCCTTCACTAGTTACAACAAAAACAGAACAGTTTAGCCTTCATCAACCTTCATTTGGTGCAGGATGGTTGTACTGGTTTAACCGTTGCACCAGTAGAATAACTAACAAGTGAGAGTCCTGTCTGCAAAATCCCACTTAGGTCAAAGTGCACGAGTATTATCTGCAAAATGAGAATGTGGAATGTGGTTTTTGAAACTGTGGTGTTACAACTCCCATGTTTGATGACACGCTGCTGTGTTTACAGTATCCCGCTGTGTTGTCTATCAACGCTAACTGCTCTGGTTGGTTTCAGATCATTTATCCTGTTACAACCGTGTCCGATAGGGGCGGCTCGATGGTTCAGTGGTTAATGTGCGTTCCACATGTGTGAAGATGCCCTCAGTGAGGCAGCTCCTTCCTGTCTATCTATCAACATCTACTGCACATAGCAAATGAAAAGCAAAAAAAAATATATTAAAATTCAAATTAATTCATTTAAAGTCCTGTCAGATGTTGCAGAATGCAGAGCTGGAAGTTTCTAAAAGTGAATTTCAACTCAAAGCAAGTCACTGGAGAGACTTCTTTCTAACACTGCGAGCTTTATTCAGACAATTAAATCAAATCTGATTATTTCAGTTTTAGTTGAGTCTTTCGTAACCATTTTTCAGCCTTTATGTAATGATTTATGATCAGAATATCCCCTCGTTGTATTCATTCTGCTGAAAATAGGCCACATTACTGATATAATATTCTGTGTGACTCTATTTGATTATCAATATTGAATCTGTCAGTGGTTGTATTTAACTGCTGTAGTCTGTTGAATGTTGGTAGTTTAGTCCAGTTGTTTCTGGTAAATCAGAAGAGTTACAACTTCAAAAACATCATTTTTATTACAGTTTCCAACGCAAGTAACTGTTTCCTGAACATGATTTTCATCGTAGCTAAGTCACGACAGTTTATACACATATCCGTTGTCACATGGAAAACTGTTAGAAGCTGTGACAAAGTCCGTCATCTGTTCCCCTGGACTCTGGGAACACTGGTTATCCCTTATTAATGCAACGCTGATTAGCTGAAGTCAGTCAGCTTTGTTTAAGTCTCTGTCACGGTGCTCCTTTAGTAGCTAAACCCCCATGATGCTCTTTGTTTGCCAACATGGAACTGCTCACCTAGTCTGGTCGCAACGGTAATAAACAATAACAGACTCCACCTGGTGGCGCAACCAGGTACTACAGATAATCTAAAATACTTGAATTGTGTATTGTGTACGTCATTAGTAGTAGGTAAGGCTTCCAGTTGGAAAAAAACAAAAAGTCCGCCTCAGGAGAGTGGAGGGGATCGTGGAAGCGTCAGGTCGCGACTGGACTTTTACCAAGGAGACTGGAGCATCACTTCTAGGAACGCTATTTCAGAATTAAGTGTTGTTTTCGCTTGCTGATTGGTTAGATTTAGGGAAGTGTCCCACTAACACAACGGTACTTACATGGGTTAGACTAAGACGCTTTTCGTAGCATATTTGACTTCACAAGCTAACATTTTATTGGTTGGCTGCAAAGGAGCAGAACAGTAAAGCAATAAATGGTTGCTTTGAATTTGTGACGCGTCACAAACAAATGTAATCTCGTAGAAAATACATTTCCTTGAAAAACGTAATTAGGAATGGTTGGTTTTGTCCAAGTAGGAAGTAACCCGGGACATGTTGCACAGTTTCATGTGTTTCGGCTGTTTCGGGAATGCGTCGGTGGACTTGATGAGGAAACAGGAGGTCTGGAAAATGGAGGGACGGTTGGACTTTTTTTTGGGGGGTGTGTCCGTTGTTATTCGAAGTGTGACCCCAGTTTTATTTTGAAAGGTGTTACAAGCTAAAAAGACTGTGTTTGTACTCTGCAGGCTTTATTTAATGTAACATCAGAACCTGAGCATTTACCAGGGACGCTAGATGTTTGATAAATCAAGCAGAGAGTGGCGTAACATGAAATTACTCAAGTAAAGTCCCTGAAAAAATGTCCTAAAGTGCAGTCCTTGTGTATATATGTGTGTGTGTGTGCGTCCCGTACTACAATGTTCTCCACCGCTGACCTCTGTGTCTGATCCTGCTGTGGAGGCCTGCCCATTTCATTAGCATGTTGGAGCAGTGAGCCTGGCTTTAGAGGCAATATCCCTGTCAGCAGATTAATCTAATGCCTCGCCACACACACCAGCGCAACACACACACTCACACACATTGAGCGTATACACATATGCACAAAGCAACACATGGAGACACAGAGGACAATATGTGTTCGAGCTGAAAGAAATACACTAGCGCTGAGGACACGAACTCAGACAAACGCATTCAGCTCGGGTTGGTGCTCCCATTACATGCTCGCAGACGCACATTATGCACACATACATGTACGTATCTAATATCTCGCCTCACCCACGACCTACTTTCCCTTAACCCCGCTTTGCTTTTTGGCAGCGACGGTAGAAGCTGCAAGCGACGAGAAACACTGACACAGGCGGCGGCGTTGAGCGTCAGGTTCAGGAGGAGGAGGAATTCCTGCAAAACTCGATTAGGGTGGAAGTTCAGGCTTCGTCCAGACGGTTCAAACTGTCGGCAAATTTTGCGGTTGTCGCTCGTGCCGGGGAGGAATCTTCCCACAAAGTCCTGCTGCTGTGGTGTTCCAGTGTGAATGTTGTACTGCACAGTGTTGTCACGTTTTACATCACGCAGCAGTCGTAAAGCAGGTGTAAATAATAAAATGTATGATGTCAGAATAACTGTATCAGCAGCAGTCAATCTGACTTTATTTATGGAGCACGTTTAATACAATAACACAAAGTGGACGACATAAAAAGTCAAAATTCATAAATAAAAGAATAAGAAAACAGTTTTAAACTGAAGTAGTAAACGCTACGATGAATAGAGGAAAATATTTAAAAAATATAGTTAAAATCTAAAATATAATATAGATAAATAATTAAACAAAAAAAAGGGCAGTCAAAATTAATAAAAACATAATAATACAGTAATAAATGATACAATGAAGAGCCTAAAATATGTAAATATATATATAAAATATAATATCTATAAATACAATATAGATGATAGATGACAAAAAACGGGATAAGACAAAAATTTTAAAAATGTAGTCGTAAACGATTCAATGAACAGACTAAAATATTGAAAAATGTAGTAAAATAAAATAGAAAATGTATAAATAAAATATAAATAGACAGGTAAAGGACAAAATAGAAATAATGTTAGAAATTAATATTGAATGACACAACAAATAGACTTAAATATGTAAAAAATATTATAAAATACATGTAAAAAAACAGATAAAATATAAAATAATATATATGAATAAAATATAGCTAGATAGGTAAAGGATAAAATAGAGTCATAAATCCTTAAAAACAGAATAAATGTAAAAAAAATTTAGTAATAAACAATGCAATAAATAGGCCAATATTTGTGTTAAATAAATAGTATACAGATTACACATATAAATGCATCAAATTATATTAAAATAAAATGTAATTCTATAAATAAAATATAGATAAATAAATAGGTAAAGGACAAAATAAAAGTCAAAATTCATAATGACAGAATAAGAAAATAATTTGGATCAATAATGAAGTAATAACAGATACAATAAATAAACAGAAAAACCAACTGGACTAAAAGAAAGAGAAATCACCATAAATATATTTAGTTCTAGAAATGATTGAGTAAAATCCATCAAATCATTCAAAAGCCTGCCTAAAAAGCTCCTACTAGAGTTTGCCACATGCATCGCCAGCGGCTGGAACAAGACGTGAGTTCATGAAATGAGCACATCGTGACATCCTGGTGGCCTTTTACTCTCCGTTCGGCCTCCTGAGCTGCTGTTCCTGTTGTCGGTGACTCACCAGTTTCTTTCTATGGATAAAGTCCTCCTGCTGGCCGGGAACTGACACTGCAGCGTATTTAAAAAAAAAAAAAAAAAAACAGACTCACCAAGTGTGTGTGAATTTTCATGAGACGCCCTGCAGGCAGCAGGGAGTCGGATGGGAAAATCTGAGTCTCGGGAAGTCAATGAGTAACCGTCTTCACCTCGAGTGCTGAACAGGAAGCAGATGCCGTTCGCTGCAGACGTTTCACTTAACAACCAATCCTATCCTGTTTTGTTTTTTTGTTTTTTAGGATGGGACAAACACTCATACGGTTACCACGGAGACGACGGCCACTCCTTCTGCTCCTCCGGAACCGGCCAACCGTACGGGCCGACGTTCACCACGGGCGACGTGATTGGCTGCTGCGTCAACCTCATCAACAACACTTGCTTTTACACCAAAAATGGCATCAGTTTAGGTCGGTGGTATTTCACGTCGCATAACACAAAAATGGTTAATTTTGCAGTGCACTAAACCCTAAATGTTCTTTTGTCCTCCAGGTGTAGCCTTCACAGACCTCCCTGTAAGTATTCATGCACTATTTTATCTCATCATAATCTCCTTTATGCTGTTTTTAATACACTTATTTGACATTTTCAAGCTGTTATTTTTGTTTTTTTGGTGGGAAACAGGTTAACAAGCGCACACATTAGGCTAATTTTTATCATAACAAACCTACATGAAGTCATATTTACCATGCAGCCACCACTTTAATTGCAGTTTATGTTGGCAGTTTGGTTGTTTTGTTTTGTTTTTTTTTTCTCGTCCAGCGGCTGCAGAGACTGGAACATTCCTCTAAAAAAAAAAAAAGGTTTTACCAGCCAGATCAGTTTTAAGAATAGAGCAGGGACTTCCAGATCTCGGCTGCGAGAACAGAAGGAGCCGCCGTTAAAACCCAAACAGCCTTTAGCAAAATGTTCACTTCACAGCCTGTCGGTGGGTTTTTACAAACATGAACTGAGCGCTGTAGTTTGAAGACTGACGGACTTGTTTACAGCTCGTGTGATGAACTTGTTAGTCCGACAACCTTAACAGCTTGTAACTTGAGGTTTTCCGCTGCAAAACCCAAAGAACGTATGAAGCATGTGATGGTCCTTTAC